GCTTCCCTCGTTTCCAGCAATCTTGCCCGAGCAAAAAGCTGTAAGGTAACACCCCAGGCGTCCCTTTTGTCTTCGTGACAGAGCGTTGCACTTCCTGGTTTTCCAGATCTGAGTGCCAGTCACTACCATTCGCCACGTTTTTTTTTTTTGGACTGTCGCTTTCGTTTTCCTTCCTGGATCTCACTCGAGGAGGCCGCCCGTTGCAAATCGCTAAGGGGTGTGGTACCCATCAGCATGCCGATGACTTCTCATTAACGCAAACAAGAGCAGGGACGAACGTGCTCGAACCTGCCGCGGTGGAGTAACGAAGATCGCTCGTAACCGGTTGTAGCCCCTCGTCAAAACCACCCACCGGCTGTGACACGCAATGCACAACCGGGCGCTAGCGTCCGGAGGGAGCAAGCATGCCACAGCCGTATGTGATAGGTGAGTCGAGAGGAACCCACACGGCACAGGTAACTTTGGGATTCGTGCCGGGTGTAAGCGATTTAACCAGATTGTAATCTCGTTGAACCGCTGTCGTCGTTAATTATAGCTGCGACCAATTCCTTCCAGGGAGGCAGCTATTCCGAATGGAGATATATGACCGACCAAGAAAGACCCTCCGTCAAAAATAGCACCGGGCGGCCAAGTATTTCTTAGAGTGAAAGTTCGCTTGAAACTCCTTATTGTCCGTGACGCTTGTGCTTGTGACTTGTGGTACGAGCAAAAGGTTTCTACGGGTGCTGCCAGAAACGTGTTTTGTCGGTTTGAAAGTAGTGGGGAAATGCTGTTAGAAAGGTTGGTTTCAGAGTGTTTATAGGGAATCGACTTGTATTATTGGTTATACTTTTCTTGTAGCCGCGCGCCATGTGTGAGGAAAGTGATCCACTCTAAGAGGACCTGAACATGATCGATCCACCTGAATCCACATCCAGGATAATGGTTCAGGGTAGTGCGGCCAACAAACAACTCTTGCATATTCCATTCTTCTTAGCGTTTATTGTGGTTTAGAGGTTCGGTGTTTTAGGGTCTCCGGTTGACCATTGAGGCTGTGAGGCGGGTGGTATGTGGGTTCTTCTCTGCTTTGATTACTTATTTTCCCAGGTTAGGACAGCCACTCTGAAGATACGTCAGATTGGCGGCAACAACACCCCAAAAAGCGGCCCAGCTTTTTCGCATATTATTATAGCAGTCAATGTTTTGATTTTGCGACCAAGTCCGCTTCTCGGGCATTCAGGTGTCTTGCATGCATCAAAACATATCACCCATCACCATTTTTGACGCGCTCGAACTTGATCTTCGCCGAATGCCTAATTCAGGTTTTAAACTGTTTATATTTATTTATATTATTTTTATCGAGTGAAAGCTCTAAATCGTTCTCTCACCTCGGCATTTTACTGGGCCACAGATTTTCTGTTTCTCATTCGGGCCGCAACCTTCCTTTTTGGACACATCCCATTTCGACCTGCAACGAACACGTTCAACAGCGGCAGAATGAAAGAAAAGGAGAGGGGACGGTCACCATATGCCCAGACTGACGGCACGAAGTCGCATTTTCCGGGGCTTACCAAAATCGATCGAGGTCGAAAAGTAAGCTCCAGCTGAGCTCGAGAGCGAATTTGGTAATCGAAAGGACCTTCCACGAAGTGAAAATGGGCCATTTGCCTATCTATGTGACCGATCTATGTGGGCGACCACGAAATTAGCCTCCCTTCGATGTCTGCCCGCCGGATTCCACCCTTGCATGAAACGGAGAAAAAGGGAGGCGTATTTTAGAGTGCAAGTTCGCTTGGGGATCCGGGGTTTTATAGTCTCCGGGTGACCATTGTCGTAAAGGTTCCTTTAAGGTATAGTGTGTTAATGTGCGTATCGTACCCGCTGTAGAGGCAGTACGTGTACTTATGCGTGTATCTTTGTTGCCTATTGACGACTATTCGATTTTGTACTTCTGTCAAATTGGCCGCATAAGAAGACTTTTTTTGAGTTAAAGTTCGCTTGAAATTCCGAGTTTTTTAGAGTTATAGCTCGCTTGAGAATCCGGGATTTTAGAGTCTCCGGGTGACCTTCGTCGAATGGGTTCTTTTAAAGCTAATACGTACTGGGTGGGTTTGGGGGGGGGACATGCATGGCTTCTTTCGTGTACACTTTATTTGCTCGCTTAGACGAGTCAGGTTCGAAACAATTTGTGACCGACACCAAGTTCTCGCCAGGATAGGTGAGTGCTCTTGGGCTCCCCACGTCTTACGAGTTGAGCAGGAGTTGCCCTGTAAACCGTACCGGTCCATTGTTCGCACCATGGCTCTACGTAGAGAAGAGTGTAGAATAGCTCAGAGAGGTTTGCGGGTAGAAACGAACATTGCGCTTTTCGAAGTGCGTGACGTCGTCGCTCTCGGTAGTGAAAAAAAATTTTTTTTGAAGATAAGTAGTTGCACTGTTCGTTGCTCGCCACAGTTAGGGCACTCGTTTTTTCAGAGTGGAAATTCTTGTTTTCGTACGCAGAATCAAATCGTTGACGGATACGCCTCATTTGACTCCATCCTCTGTGTGGTGTTCACCGTGTCTTGTTTTCCTTCCACTACGTGAGGTAGGTACCAGGGAAAGCCTGCTACACGGGAGCCAAGCTTCACGTGTTCGGCGGTACTGCAGAGCCACGGGCCTACGGGTCAAGTGGCTACCGATTTCCCAAACTAAAGCATCAAGGCTTGGTGCACCTTGGGGCTTGGCGCTGGCGCTGAACACAAGCTCGTCGAGACGGTCAGCCGCAGGGCAGAGCGGACGGGGTTGTGGCACTGTGCTGCCTCCGTCTCAAGCTTTGCAAGCTGTGGTTGACCGTCACGTTCCTGGACCAGGAGCGGCCATTTTTCTTTTTCTTTTTTTCTTCTTCCACTACGTGACCAGGCCTTTTTAAAACCCCACTTCTTTCACTCGAGGGCGCCTTGCACCTTCGCAGGGAAGATCGCACCATCCCGTCAAATCGTATGCTGAGGCGGCACTGCTCTCGAAACATCGCTTTGGGGTTGAAGCACGCACTGTGAGCCGGACCATCCCCTCTTGATAGACCGAAGACTACAGCACCGGGCAATTCGATGCAGCTCTAGGGACAAGAGATGGACCTGATAGACCGTGGTGGACCGTGATGCACTGTTATAAACAGCGGCAGGCACTTCGATGCAGTTTCAAGAGATAGGGACGGACCGGCTCACGCTGATATTGCAACGGGTTGCCACGCATGTTTTGTGGGGTAGCAAAGCTTCACGTGTTGCTGGCAGTACCGCAGAGCACGTGCCTACGGTTTCAAAAGGCTGCCGCTTCCAATAAGAAGAGAGAAAGCGCCGTGGGGAGTTCTTTTCGGCTGTGACAAATACTTGAGCCGGTCTACCCCCGGCTGGTAGACTACAATCGCCTGTGATAGCCTACGATAGTTGAGGTTAGAATGCAGAATATCTGCAGCGATGGCGCCCTGCATAATCCACTGGATGACTACCTCTTCGATCGTACCGTGCCATGCTTCTGGCGTTTGCACTCATTCGAATCATCGTCTTCGCGCGGTCGCTTTGCGACTCTTCCCTTCCTTGCCGGTTTGCATGCTTCTGCGGTCTTTGCCTTCGCTTTTACGGGCGACGCTGGGCACTTCTTCTTCCGTTGGGGGGTCGTCGTCTCTCATCTTCGCTTTACCAGCGCGGATGCCGTCCTGCGGCGTAATTGGCGGGGCCGGGGCCGGCGCCCGCCCGTCCGCGTTCCGGGGTGGTGTTTGCAGCACTTTCGTGCGTTCGTGCACTGTGGTCGCTGCCGGTCTCGCTGCTTTGCTGGCGGTGTCCTCGTGGCGCTCGTCCCCTCCTCCTGATCCTTCGATTCAGCCCCGGTGGCAGCGGTGGCGAATCCTCGCGCTTTCTGCGGCACTGTTGCTCGCGTCGTTGCAACAACCTGGTAGCGGTGTCGTTTGCGGCACTGGCCAGGCCGCCGGTTGCGCTTGCGATAGCCTAGGGTTAGAATGCGAATCTGTGGCGATAATCTGCAGTAGCCACTGGATGACTACCTCTTCGATCGGACCGTGTCTGCCTACGATAGCCTGTGCTAGCCTATGCTAGCCTATGATAGACTGCTGATAGACCGTGATACTTTGGGTTAGTTTGGGTTAGAATGCAAAGATTCTATGACGCTAATCTGCACTCTGGGACAGTAGCAGACAGTTCGATGCACTTCCAGAAAATAGGGGGTGGACTGGCTCAATAGGGAAGCAGAAATTGGTTGTCGCAAAAAAAAGAACGTGTTTTGGAATGGTTCTGCGCTCAAACTTCATCCAATCTGCACCGTGTTTCGGTCACCACTGACACATGAGGTGGGCCAAGGTGGACATATTCAGAGTGTGTCTGCAGCGATAAGTCTTGTTTGTCAGGCGGCTGTTAGTGGCTCGCCACAGCGAGAGCAAGCAGCTCTAAAAGTACTCAGAGCACCTGAGACAGCGACTCACTGGAAAGCACTGAATTGTCTTATTTTTACGCTGGCAAACATGGGGTAGCCGTGTGCGGCACCAATGGTTGGAGTACCGAAGTGTCGAGGGGCCTACTAGCAAACGGCGGTACGTACGCGTCAAGTGCACCGAGGCGGGTCCAGCCTAAGAAGCTGGTGAGTTAAAGATGGAGCTGTAGAAGCGGTGTCACATCCGCGTTTCGGGTGTGGATTTACACGCGTTATGGTTGTAGCACACCCTTCCAGGTCGGTGTGCAGGTTTCTTCAGGTTCTTGCTGCGATGGTGGAGCATCATGGCGGACCATGAGAACCCCCTTACCGGGTTCCATCCCGACTGAACTTGTTGAAGACAAGAAGTAGAGCAATTCGTGGTGGACTTAAGCGGAGGTTCTTGGTTCTTGTCGTGAAAATACTGGGTGATGACGTCTGAAGATAGAAACGTGCCGAAACAGCTGCCACTACACGAAGTGGTCGGTTGCATCAATTCTCGTGTGGATACATTTTCTCCTGTTCGACAGAATCCCGCTGGTTGAAAACCTCGAACAGATGTGTTGGAGCCCAGAAATGGGACACCCGCTAAAATTGGATCGATACAGAGAACATTAGCATGGTCCGTGCGCAAGGATAACACGTAAACAGCGGCAGGCGCTTCGATGCGGCTCATTTATCGAGAAAGTATCCCCTTTTCTTGGAATTCCTTCCAGGTAAATCTGGCGGAAATCACGACAGCCGCAGCAGGCCGAGCTCCCGACTGACGGAAGCAGAGAATGAACGCGTAGTTTTGTTTTATTCTTGAAAGAAGACTGGTCGCAATTCAACGTGGGCGACAGGAAAGAAAATATTTGGCAAATTGGTTGGGCGCGTAGTGGCCGTGAGCTTGCGCCGAAAACGTTGGTCTTTCAGGTTGTTGCTTGACCTCCTGGATCGAAGGAGAAGAAGAAATGTGAAAACGGGGTTTTGCCCAGAGGCTTTTCGTGTTTTTCTGCAGGTTTTCGTACGTCTTCTTGACCATTGTAAAGTGCGAAAATGGTGTCAGCCGAAGCTGGTGGAAGAAATGTTGGGGTGTAGTCAGTCCGCATCACTCTGGATAGTCTGGTAAACTGGAAGCTTCGAGGCTGGTGACTGATACCTCTTCGAACGCACCGTGTCACGATTCCGGGCTATTCACCTTCATCTTCTCACGAACACTTCAGACCCTTCTTCAGTAGAGTTGGACCTAAAATACTCGACGTAGCTGCTTTGACTCCGAATGGAAAGGAGGAAATATAGAGGTAAAGGGGGAAATACAATACAAACACAATTTGATCAATCTGATTGTTCTTCGCTTACACCCCCGTGTGTTGTTTTCTCACTCAGGACTTTGACCTGTTGTGTCTGTGTGATTTGTCGTGTTGGGGTAGACCCGCATGACCTCACGTCCGTTCAACACGCGGTTTGGTAGTTACAGCACTTGGGATCCCTTCTTTGTCTGGCAGCTATTGTCGAGCATTTCCTTCCAAGCTGGCGCTTATGAAAAATGAAAATACGAACTCGCCACTTGCTCCGGGGTTACGAACTTGACCAATGATAAAGTGATGATGTGGGGAAGAGTTGGTTTCGTTGAACGCAGTGCCTGATCGTTTACATCAAGCTGGATACATGACGCAAGGGGAAACGCCACGGTTTGCGATGAGCTTCTCATTTCCTCCGACATATCACGTTTGGTAAAGCTTAAAGAGGCGTGTGGGAACGGGGGGCGCAGCTATGTATATCTGTGGTTGGCAACGCCATCAATGTCCACCCCCCACTTCCTGCGCGAAACCCGAAAAGAATTTCAAAAAGTCAATAAAGGCAGGCATTTTCGCGCTACGTCCTTTTGTTTGTGCGCACTTCCTTCAAACCTGTTTTGTTCATCTAACGGGAGTGAGGATAGTACGCTCCCATCGATCTGCTTTTGTTCTTGACGAATTGCATTTGTTAGCCTGACAATGTTAGGCACAAAAAAATACTCGAGGGCTGCCTTGTGCTTACTTCGAAGGAGGCTAGAGAGGGAGAACAATACAACTACAAAGTGGGTCTTTTTTATTTAACGCTTACGCCCGCCACCAGGGCTTACGCTCCGTTTTCGGTCTCAGAGAAAATACGTGTGGTCCACATGTGGGCGCTTAAGGTTCGAGGGGGAAAAAAAACTTTCCCGTCATGTGCGACCAGTGATTTATATATGGGTCTGGGGCTCGGGGCCACCCCGAGCGCGAGAAAAAAAAAATTGACTTAATTTTGGGCTGGGGGTTGGGGTATGGCCGGGTCACTACCAACCGGGATCAGCGGGGGTGAGGGACGAAGCCATGGCGAAGACATGGCGAAGTCACGGCGAAAGCCATGGCGAAGCCATGGGGCAGGAAGAGTATAACGGAGGCGGGGAAAGAGGAGGCAGGAGGGCCAGGGGCGGAGGGCCAAAGGGGGTGGTGGGAGGCGAGACGTTGACTACCAAGTCTAATTAAATTTGGGATCGGAAATTGAACGTTGACTACCAATTCTAATTAAATTTGGATTCAAAATCGAACGTTGATTACCAATTCTAATTAAATTTGGGATCCGAAATTGGACGTTGACTACCAATTCTAATTAAATTTGGAATCAAAATTGAACGTTGACTACCAATTCTAATTAAGTTTGGGATCGGAAGTTGGACGTTGACTACCAATTCTAATTAAATTTGAGATCGGAAATTGGACGTTGACTACCAATTCTAATTAAATTTGGATTCAAAATCGAACGTTGATTACCAATTCTAATTAAATTTGGGATCCGAAATTGGACGTTGACTACCAATTCTAATTAAATTTGGAATCAAAATTGAACGTTGACTACCAATTCTAATTAAATTTGGGATCGGAAGTTGGACGTTGACTACCAATTCTAATTAAATTTGAGATCGGAAATTGGACGTTGACTACCAATTCTAATTAAATTTGGATCGGAAATTGGACGTTGACTACCAATTCTAATTAAATTTGAGATCGGAAATTGGACGTTGACTACCAATTCTAATTAAATTTGGATCGGAAGTTGGACGTTGACTACCAATTCTAATTAAATTTGAGATCGGAAATTGGACGTTGACTACCAATTCTAATTAAATTTGGATTCAAAATTGAACGTTGACTACCAATTCTAATTAAATTTGGATTCAAAATTGAACGTTGACTACCAATTCTAATTAAATTTGGATTCAAAATTGAACGTTGACTACCAATTCTAATTAAATTTGAGATCGGAAATTGGACGTTGACTACCAATTCTAATTAAATTTGGATCAAAATTGAACGTTGACTACCAATTCTAATTAAATTTGAGATCGGAAATTGGACGTTGACTACCAATTCTAATTAAATTTGGATTCAAAATTGAACGTTGACTACCAATTCTAATTAAATTTGAGATCGGAAATTGGACGTTGACTACCAATTCTAATTAAATTTGGATTCAAAATTGAACGTTGACTACCAATTCTAATTAAATTTGGATTCAAAATTGAACGTTGACTACCAATTCTAATTAAATTTGAGATCGGAAATTGGACGTTGACTACCAATTCTAATTAAATTTGGATTCAAAATTGGACGTTGACTACCAATTCTAATTAAATTTGAGATCGGAAATTGGACGTTGACTACCAATTCTAATTAAATTTGGATTCAAAATTGAACGTTGACTACCAATTCTAATTAAATTTGGATCGGAAATTGGACGTTGACTACCAATTCTAATTAAATTTGGATTCAAAATTGAACGTTGACTACCAATTCTAATTAAATTTGGATTCAAAATTGAACGTTGACTACCAATTCTAATTAAATTTGAGATCGGAAATTGGACGTTGACTACCAATTCTAATTAAATTGGAATCGGAAATTGGACGTTGACTACCAATTCTAATTAAATTTGGATTCAAAATTGAACGTTGACTACCAATTCTAATTAAATTTGAGATCGGAAATTGGACGTTGACTACCAATTCTAATTAAATTTGGATTCAAAATCGAACGTTGACTACCAATTCTAATTAAATTTGGATTCAAAATTGAACGTTGACTACCAATTCTAATTAAATTTGAGATCGGAAATTGGACGTTGACTACCAATTCTAATTAAATTTGGGATCGGAAATTGGACGTTGACTACCAATTCTAATTAAATTTGAGATCGGAAATTGGACGTTGACTACCAATTCTAATTAAATTTGGATTCAAAATTGAACGTTGACTACCAATTCTAATTAAATTTGGATTCAAAATTGAACGTTGACTACCAATTCTAATTAAATTTGGATTCAAAATTGAACGTTGACTACCAATTCTAATTAAATTTGGATTCAAAATTGAACGTTGACTACCAATTCTAATTAAATTTGAGATCGGAAATTGGACGTTGACTACCAATTCTAATTAAATTTGGATCGGAAATTGGACGTTGACTACCAATTCTAATTAAATTTGAGATCGGAAATTGGACGTTGACTACCAATTCTAATGAAATTTGGATTCAAAATTGAACGTTGACTACCAATTCTAATTAAATTTGAGATCGGAAATTGGACGTTGACTACCAATTCTAATTAAATTTGGATTCAAAATTGAACGTTGACTACCAATTCTAATTAAATTTGGATTCAAAATTGAACGTTGACTACCAATTCTAATTAAATTTGGATTCAAAATTGAACGTTGACTACCAATTCTAATTAAATTTGAGATCGGAAATTGGACGTTGACTACCAATTCTAATTAAATTTGGATCGGAAATTGGACGTTGACTACCAATTCTAATTAAATTTGAGATCGGAAATTGGACGTTGACTACCAATTCTAATGAAATTTGGATTCAAAATTGAACGTTGACTACCAATTCTAATTAAATTTGGATTCAAAATTGAACGTTGACTACCAATTCTAATTAAATTTGGATTCAAAATTGAACGTTGACTACCAATTCTAATTAAATTTGAGATCGGAAATTGGACGTTGACTACCAATTCTAATTAAATTTGGATTCAAAATTGAACGTTGACTACCAATTCTAATTAAATTTGAGATCGGAAATTGGACGTTGACTACCAATTCTAATTAAATTTGGATCCGACAATAGACGTTGACTACCACTTCTAATTAAATTTGGGATCCGACATTAGACGTTGACTACCAATTCTAATTAAATTCAGAATCGGAAGTTGGACGTTGACTACCAATTCTAATTAAATTCAGGATCGGAAATTGGACGTTGAGTACCGATTCTAATTAGATTTGGGGTTCGGCATCAGACGTTGACTACCGGTTCTAACTGAATTTGGATTCAATACTAGGAGTTGACCGGCGCGGAAATTCTTCGCTGTACCGTACCGTGCGCTGGGGGGCGCTGCCCCCCAGACCCCCCCTGTCTTACAAATTAGCTTAACCATTTCGTCTGATTCTTGTTCCAACACTGGGTTGGGCTGGGCTGCCCTGGTAGTGCTTGCCTCGAAACTACCAATTCTAATTAATTTTGGATCCACCACAGGACCCCGAGGGCGAAAAGGACTTTTCTGCAGAGGAGGAAAAGCTATATAAATCCCTGTGTGCGACGGCAAAAAAAAAAAAATTATATAGCGTCGCTAGGTAGCTACTGGACTTGGCGACACCTGGCTGTGCGG